CCTAGAAAAGTCAAAGATACACGAAGAAAACGACGATTATTGAGGTGCATGTAAAAATCTAAGTGTTTAGAAACTTTTTTGGAATCAACTTAGGTTGGGCGGCGATTCAAGGCGATAGCAGTAATAGTATGAGCTTGTGGCAAAACCGAAGACAGAACTCGAATGTCAAACCAAAGACTTAAGAATATTGGTAAGAGCTTGTGGCAAAACCGATAACTTAATTCAAGTTTTAAACCACAAATTTGAGCCACCTTAGAACAACAAATAATTAAACTTATTTTCTGCTGAAAAAAACTGCATAAGTTTTAATCAAACCTTATGCAAAGATTGCAGTAGTTTTGTCACCTAGCGGTACATCAGCTTAAACTAAAGCCAACAGTGACTACCAAAAGTCGTTATATACATTTTCTAATAACAAACGAAACCAGCTGGCCAGCTTTGTTACACGAAGCTAATTTACATTTATCCTCTTAACTAACTAAAAACGTGCTTTACTACCTAACAACGAAACTTCAGCACAAAACCCCACAGAGTACGAGTATCATCATATTTTTTTATGAATACAGCCGCAGATTAACATAAATATTGTTGCTGATGTTTTCCACCAGATTAAGCAAGGCAGCAAGTTGGAAAATTTTTACAAGCAACAACAACAGACACTTTGCTGAATGACAGCTGACGAAAACACTACACTTGAAGAACTATGAGACTTCCTCGGCAAATAATAACCAGAGCATGCAAAGTCGCGAACAGACAAAACTGTAACGCCAATGCACCGTGTTAGATGGTAATCTAAACAATACTTCAGACGAGAGGAGTTTCGCTGTTAACATGAACACGAATGACAAGTGGTTTGATGATAACGCTGATAGCATTGACACCAAGCGAGCAGCTCGCAAGCAGCAAGAAAGCGAATAAAAGGCACGAAAAAAAAGAAGGATGTCGTAGGACACACCACATTACAAGTAGATGAGTATGAGTCGCCAGGAAAAACTTTCTTTGTTATCGTGGTGTTAGGCAGTTAAGGCCTGTTGGGTGGTGGGGTGGATTACGGGCGTATAGTTTGTTTGGCGACGAGTATGTAGCGGTATACGAGTGTGGAGTGTTTTGTGAACTAAGAACAAACTGGGTGGTTGTTTGCGGACACTTTACACAAATAAAATGATAATGATTGACAAATAAAGGGCCAAGAGGCTATCAGGCTCACAAGAAAGCTGGCACGAGTGTCAAAGCGCCCCAAAATTGTGTATGAGGCTTTAAAGGGAGAACATTAGCTGGAAGTTGGAGTGAGTGGAGATCTGCTTCCAAGACAGCAGAGGGTGAAGAAACTCAGGGTGCATAGCTAAATGATTTTGCTGTAGCTGGCGAGGAGTGCGCGTGGGGAAATTAGTATGAAAGCGTTTTAATTTTGTAATTAAAGATTAGCTGTTACAACAAGTGTATTGGGTGGAAACTTTTAGTGGCTTAATGATGTGTTCCTTGATAGCTTTTTAACTAAACGCTTAGTTGATATCGAAACTGATTTATTAACTGATTTGTGTTATAGTTTTGACACTTCACTAAAGTAAGATTTTACGGTGTTTGAGCCCTCACACGGCTTGTAAGTTTAATGTACAGGTTAGGTTAGGTTTGGTTGTAGAATTAATCCTAACACCTAAGGTAGCCCTGGATCTCACTTGGATCCTTTGTGATACCCAAAAAGTCCTAATGATGAATCAACAGATTCTCATAGACCGACGAAGCGTGTTAAGCTTACCATACATTTTAAGGGCGGTTAATATCAATCTCAACCACTTCGCTAAGTTCGCCGAAGGTGATATTTTGATCTCAGTCTGATAAAAGTCAAAAATTAAAGTAGAAACTGTATGCTTCCACCTCGCCTTCCTCCATCAGGTTTTGCGAAGAGCGTCCGACAAAATATTTAACCGCACTGCATATGAGCCCGTTGGACAATGAGATTCACTTAGTGCCAGGAGGATCTCGCCGCCGCACAAGTTATGGTTGTTGTTGTACGCGTGCAGAGCTGACTGGAGGTCAAAAAGTTCAGCACTAGAGCGCAAAAGGACAACGAAGCACCGATCCGCTTCTAATCGGATGAAATTGGGGTAAGGGCGCCCTCTCCACTTCCACTGTGACCGACAACGGAGAGAATGTTAAGAAAGAGTTTATTTAGCTAAGGTATGACGAGACAATATGACCAGAAAAATTAAAATATTACTAATAGTACGAAGCGCGCCAATTTCTCCTTCTACTTGCTTCTGTGCATTATGCACTTTCATTTGTCATAATTATATTAGTCGGAATTTTTTATGAACACATTTATTTATTGCAGCCCGCAAGACCTGCTCCTTTCCATACATACACATACATCAAAACAATATTCTGGCAAACAGTGCAAATGCATTGCCAAGCGCGCAACTAACAGAAAATGAGGAAATTGGAAAACAATGCAAACAGAAGTGGTAATAGTACTAGGGTAATAAAAATGGCGCAGGAAAGTAATAAAAGTGCAGATGAAGTGACAGTATTGCCGGAAAGATGCATGCGTCTTACTTGTGAAATATCGCCCTTTGCAATCGAGTGCTCCAATAGCGTTCAAATTACAAGCCCACACAAGCATGATTCATAACAGTTTCATGCGCTGCCTTAATTGTGTATGTGAACAAAACATTCAAACATAAACTCGTGTATGAATCATTTGGCGAACTTACAGGAAAAGCGAGAAGAAATGCAATATCGATGACGTAGCAAGCTTTGGCGCCGCACGTGTAGGCGGCTTTGTTCTTCATAAGCGCCTGTGCATATGCTACACAAAATGTCATTGTTGTAGTATTTATCTTGCTCTAGCAATTCCTTTTTCCATTTCATTTGCGCCCTTAAATGCCGCATACTTTAAATTGCCACTTCGTCTTTTGTGCGAAACATCTTACTTTGGGCTGCTTAAATTGTATATACCCCCCAAACTTCCGTTAAACAAATACACGTGTACTTATGCACTCAACTCACGTTCCAATTTTACTTAAGTCTGCTCCATATAACGCAATATTATGCCACCTGGGAGCTCTCTCTGGGTAGTTGTAATATTTACTCGTAAATATTTTTATAGACTTTTCGCGCACACAGCTTCGTGTGCTTTTCATGTTTGCGCCTGCAAGTATGCTTGCTAGTTGGCGTCAGCATCACCAGGCAGCAAAAGTATGCGTTATTGCCACCTTTTTGCCAGATTACTTCATTTTGCTTTTCACACACGTTTTGTGCAACGGAAGCAAAATTCAATTTTGCCTTTTCACCAAAGTTTGCGTCGGCATTTGCTCTCGCTTTTGTGCCGTTTCGCTACTTTCATTTTTTTTCGTTATTTACAAAAAAGGTGTAAAATATTTTAACCCGGTATGAGGTTGCGTGTGTACGAAGGCGTTTGGTTGCGTAAGATTTGCTGCTCGATGTTAAGGTGGTTGGCATGATTTTTGAGGCCATTGTGAATTAGGCATTTAAAGTGACGATAAAAAACATTGCACGTATTTTTGTCGAGATATTATGAATGAAGTATAGTAAGCTTTTTGTTGTATATGTGTGCAAGCTTGAATATATAAATATTATCAGTTACACAGGCGCCTTTGTCCAGGTTTTGAAAACAGCTGATAAAAAATTCAACTTCTTGCGTTCTGAAATAGTAGTCCAAACTATTTTTGGATTTCATTGAATTTAATTTACCAAAAGATTGCGATAATTGTACTTATTCCGAGTGGATACACTTGTAGTTCTAGAAATTGTTGGCCTATAACTCTTGCGCTCAGGGTTTAAGATCTCACTCTAATAATACTTGAAACAATATAAAGAAGGTCAATCGATCATCAATAGCCAAGTGGCAATTAAGATAGGATTATTATATATACATTGCGTCAGAGAATGTCTTTAGCAACAAGAACACAGTAGATGTATGGTTGCCGGAAATCAGTAGCATATATGCTGGATTACAGGCCATAAAGACATTTCGAAAAACGAAATAGCTGAGGAGATTGCCAAAAGTCTCATCCGTCGCAAAGTCGCTAAAAGCGATACAAAATAAAATTTCCGAAAGGGCTGACTGTAGGATCAGTGTCAGATGGAATGTCTTAAGGACATGAGCCCCAAAGTAAAACACGCATCCTTGTTACTCACACGATTTCAAAAAGGCCTGCATGTCATTAGGCATCACATGGCCATAAGTAACGACGATACATGCAGAAAGTACTGCAAATTAAGCATGAGAGAAACGCAGGAACACCTCCTCTGCTTCTGTCTAGTCTTATCTAAAACTTGTCGTAGATATCTAGAAGCTTCGCAGCTCAAGAGACTAGATAAAGTATATATAAAGTAGATATTAAATCAATCTTAAAGTTGGAAAAAACTGTTGACTTGCTATATGACGAATACTTCAGCTCAAATTAAACTGAACTCTCACTCTGACATTACTAAGGACCAGTCTATATATGGCGTGATAGCCAGCCAGTATGACCTAACCTAAACTAATGGGGTTTTAATTGTAAGACGAATTTTAAGCTCAAGCTCCCTTTTTCCAATAGCTTTAACACAAAGTTGTAATGCGATCCATATTACTACCGTCAACCGTTGCAGCTATTTCGTTTACATTTCAAAATGAAACTAGGAGAGCGGAGGAGAGCCTGTCAATGAATGATGGTAACACTTTTAACTAAGAAATATTATTCCAATAACTAACTAATAGCGTTGAGGTGACCAACCAAGTGGGCAAAGTTAGATGGATTCCATTAATTTTCAAGCACTAACGTTTATTTTGCAAAGGACAAGCATTAGACGTGGCATGGCTTAACATTATTCCCTTTCTTTTATGAATATTGGTTCATATTTACATTTTTACCCCATGGAAGAAACTTGAAAATAGGTCAATTATATCAATGAAAGCATTTTTGCTGTGACACGTATATATGCTTAGGGTAATAAATTACGCATTTACGCAATATTTAGCAATAAAATCAACTTACCCATCGGTAACCAATGCATCCGCATGCGTAAATCCACTGTGTAATTCCTGTGTCGCAGCAAGAGTGACAATTTATATTCTCCCGCTATGCACTAATAAGTAGCGGCAAACGGAGCCATCTTTGCAAGTGGTGGTTACCCTTACACACACATATAAACACACAAAAAACTCAAATGATTTTCACTACAAAATATTGGCAGGGGTGAACTCGGTAGCATTACCGGTATGCATGAGCGCGCATCACTTGCTTATTGCACTTTTTTGTAAAAAGCTGTTGTTGCTTTTCACATTCACTGTTGTTGTTGCAGCATTGCGTGCACCGATGGAGCGATTAACGCGAACATAAAACACTTACACCGATTTAAGATAAACGCGAAAGCGCCATATAGTAGGAGGCCTTGAAGCGCGAAAGCACGTCATTTATGTGGGTGTGTGTAAGCAAGTATGTGTGTGTGTGTGTGTGTGTTGCCGCTCGTAGATGGTGTGATATGCGTTGAAGCGTATGCACGCAGGCTCATGCCATTGTGGCACATTGTAAATTTGTAGATAATCAGACATGTTATGCTCGTACTTGATTCAATTAAGATATGCAAAATTGGGGGTTTGGTTGGCGTGCAGTGGACTCAAGTATTGCATACATACATACATATATATTTGTATAGTTGTGTGTTTGCAGGTGTGCGTGGTGTGCAAAAACCGGCAAATTATTTCGGTAGCGCATTTGTATAGCTCTTAAAGTTGCATAATCGCTTGATGCTTTTCACAATCATTGAACTGTTAAACGGTAGTTTTTGAAATTACTAGTAAAATTTTACACTGGGTAATATTTAAAAAAAATTTTTTTACATAATTTTTTTTAAATATTTTTTACATAATTTTTTTTATAAATTTTTTTTATATATTTTTCATTTATTCACTAAAATTAAGTTCACTAAAATTTGTTTACAATTTTTATCTTAATTTCACTTTATGTCATTTTTACTTTTTATATAATTGAAGTATTTGTTTTGCACGTAACTTACTAGTCGATTTTCTATCTATAACTTCACTGCAAACTTTTTTTTTTAAATTTTTATTATCACCAATTTTATAAATTTAACTATTTTTGGTGCCACTACTTCTTAAATCGTATTAACTTGAATAAATTTTATGTTTTAAATCTTATTAATTGCACTCTTCTCAAAATTATTAAAATAGTTTAAGCATATTGCACATTTTTGCATTGAAAAAATTTTAGCTTAAATTAAAATTACATTACTCCCAAATTTATTTTATAATTGCCATAATTATTTGCTTAGTTAATTTTCCTCTTCTAATTTAAATACAGCCACTTTTATTGTTAGCATCGAGCTTCTTCTATCTGTTTGCCAAGCACCGCACAATATGGCCACTTTATCACCATTCAACGCGTAACTTCTTTGTCCATTTTGCTTATATCACACTTTCACTTTTCTGCAGCATGCATTCATTTCTCATGCAGCATTTCTATCGTTTGTTATTCATTCGTAATCTCATTTTTTTTTCTTCACACAATTTCAATGTTATGAAATTCGCACTACACTTTGCTATCGGCTTTCCGCATCCCTTTCGCTGGCTGCACAAATGTAATCGGCAAGGCTTTGCATTTTATTTTACCGACCGCCGCCTACGCCTCGTCAGCGCGCCTGCCTCTCTGCCGCACGCACGAGTATCACTTGCCGTTTGCTTAGCCTTGACTTATCAATTCACCCTCGCGATTTTTCCGCACAACCTTTCAACGCGAATGCCGAAACGAAACTGGAGCGCACGGCCTCGCTCACTGATGGCACGTTACACGCGCATATTATTGGGTGGCTGGGTGGCTGGGCTTTAGGTGAGCAAAATGCCCATTTCCGTTAATTTGCTCTCCAAACACTTTGCGGGCGTTTGCGTTATTTGTGGGAGAGCGACAACAACAACAACGCACACACATAGTTGTGAATGGAACTCCAATTGTATTGGCGCTCAGTTGCTCTTGAGTTCGCTCACTTGCCTTGCTTTGTGCTTGTTGTTAGTTTTGGAGAATCCTTGACATTGGCGCTTGAAAATGTATTTGTTATTGTTTTCTGTTAAATAATATTGTGTTTAACTTTTTCATTGCCAATTTTTTTTTTGGGGTTTGAAAGCTTTGGAGCGACAATGCAATTATTTGTTGGATATACAACAAATATTGCACAAAAATTTGGTTGAACGGTTGTTGTTGCAATTTTGAATGCGTGTTGATAGGGGTGCCAAAGGAAAATTGTGTTTAGTAAATGAAGAAAATTTTACAATAATAATTCTTTAAACAAGGAATATAGCTACATAAATAATTTTTAAGGTTTTAGGAATAAAGACGGTTCATAATAAAAGGTTTTTGGGAAAAAATTTATTTTGAAGAAGAAAAGTGAAAAACAAAAGGCTATATAGTCACAGTAACCAAACAAACATTAAAGAGAGAGTCTCTCTAGAAACACTTAGGAGCAATATCTCAATATTATCTCGCCTTCGGTGGACAACATATTTTTATCTATTCAGGCAATCAAATTACATGATAATAGCTGACCTCTTCGGCCAGATCTTGCCGGAACATTGAGATCTTGAAGTAAAGTTGAGTAGCAGCACACTTATAAAGTACTCAGCCGAGGGAATTTCAATACAAAAGATAAATAAAAATTAGTTAGGCTAAATCTAGATCTTCACTTTAAAAACGTCGGGCGAAGATAACGGAATATCTGTTCGGAGTTATTGAAATAGAACTGCATTACCGAGTAAATTAGTCCCAATGTGAATGTGAAGAACTGAGATAATAAATAGAGCACTCAGAATTTGGAAAAGAAGTCAATGCAGTCTCTCCGCTAACATCGGGAAATATATTTCGGAAAAGGACAACCAAGTAAACAATTGTTGCTTAAGTCGTAACTTCGTCGAGAAAAAGCAAGCTCTTTTTTTACCAAGAAGCTCTTCATTTGGTGGAACATCCAATATCGCACCACTGTAGCAAATAACTGCCATACAAACAGAACAATCGGAATCAAGTGCTTATATGGAAAACTTTTTGATTAGAGAATATATCTTCACGAAATTTGGCATGGGTTATTGATTAAGGCAATAATGCAGTCTTCGAAGAAATGGTTCAGATCGGATCACTATAGCATATAGCTGCCATATAAACTGAACAATCGGAATCACGTTCTATAAGGAACCTTTTGTATTTGTGAAGGGTTTTACAGCTCCGATGCAACCGAAGTTAACGGCTCTCTTGTTTCTTGTTTGTTTTTGTTTTAATATTAAGCAGGTGAATATTTGTTTTCAGCCAATCCAAAAATATTGAGTTTCAATTTAATTTAATAAAAGGCATATGCTTTTTTCAGCAGTTACTATTTCTTATATGTTATGTTATATATGTATATATTTCTTTTTTTGCATATATGTATATGATTTTGAAATCAGTCAATATTTATAATATTTTCATTGCTGTCTTTTAATATCATCTACAAAGTAGCTATGGTTGGGAGACAATATGCAACAACAATTGCAAACTCTGAAATCTAACTATTTGAGGGTTAAAAAGAAAATGTAATTTTTCGACTTTACATATGAATGTGTATGTGCACTCACATTTATGGACTCACACACATGTGTTTGCTGTCGTCACTGATTGAAAGGCAATAAAGGCTGACAAAGGGGCGCGTGGAATAAATATGAAAGGATATATTATACAAATGCATATGTGTGGGTGTATTTAAATACGTATAATATTGTGTGTTTTGGAAAAATACAACTCAAGTAGCTGCGCATATATTTAAGTGTAATCACAAAGTAGTGTGTGAGTATGCCAGTGTGTGTGGGCTTATCTTGATATCCCTTTTAGGAAAATTTCGTGTAGCCACTTTTAAACTTACAATGTGTTTGTTGTGACTGTGGGTGGCAAGTAGCAATAGTGAGTGGCATATGAGGCATATCAGCTAACGGAAAACTATGTGACCCTCATTTAAGCAAAGCAATTTCGACTTAAATACCTATACACATAAATATTTTCGAAGGTAGTTGGAAACTAATGGGCATTTAAGTTAAATCTAATTTGAGTGAGTTATGAAAATGGAATGCTGAAAAGTTATGCTAATGAAGGTTGTTATTACAATAGAAATATATTTGGACGGAAATATTAATGTTTGATACAATAATAGAGGATATAGACTATTTTTTACAAACTATTATTATATTATATATTAACTACTCTTAACTTTGAGTTATTTTAATTAAGAAAAACATGTACAAATTTTTATTACAAACATGTGCATTTCATATAGGACAAAACTATATATAAAAAGACTTGCACCTTGATTTTGGTCTATCAGTTTATATGGTCGCAACATGCTATAATTGTCCGATCTGAACAATATGTTCGGAGGTTGTAGTGTTGCCCTAGATGATAATCTAAGATTATATCATTGTCAAAGAACAAAGCTTTCCATACAAGGGCTTAATTTGAAAGATCAGTTTGTATGGCAGCTAAATTTCAAAATCAATATCTCAAAACCAGAGCGTATATTTCGCTAACAGTTCCTTCTTGGCCTTACTTAATATAGTATAACATAATAATAGGTGCAAAAATATCAAAACTCATTGAGCAAAAAATGTTGACTCAAAAATTATTTAATTATTTTAAATTTTAGTCCCGCCACATTTACATATACCTGTTGATTTTTTCCACCTTGTCATTCGCACAACTCCACGAACCACTTTAGCAACACCAACATTCATGCTCCGCGCCATTATTATTCCACTCGAATATCCACTCCTTTTCTACTTTTTGCAGGCATTGAAGTGTTATTAATTTATTTAGTCATATCCCTAATGTCATCCGCCAACAACAAAGTGTACATAGCAACCAGGGCGAAAAAAATATTGCTGAATGAATGGAAAATTGAGCTAGTATAATGTGAAGCAGTTAGTGAGAACTTTTAACTAGTCTAAAACGTACGAAAAGTGAACCAGTTAAGATAAAGCTAGTATTAATCGGGATAATTAAGTTATAAATGTGTTTCGTGTTGGTCAGAATTAAATACATCGTCCTTGAATGACCAAAATATCAGCCGATTTCACAAAGGTAATCATCAATATTTTATGGGAAAAAGTTAGTTTCGGTCCAAGAATATTCGAAATTTTTTTAAAATATATATCTGATATTATAAGATGAGCAGAAAAGACTATAGAATTTAGATGCTAGGCTGGCACGATCATAGCTAACAAGTTTACGAACGCCCATTTTATAAATATATAAGCATTAGAAATAATTATTTGACTCTATTTTGAACAATTTCCATATATATACCACAAATTTCTTAACTGTTTTTGCAAAATTTTAACACTGCTCCAAAACAAACTAGTTTGGAACTAGTAATTAAAATTACGAATCTTTCACCCATTAATTGATTAAGTAAATTTTTAGTTAAAATTTAGCAGTGTGCCAAAACAAACTAGTTTGTAACTAGTCATTAAATTTTGGATCTACCCCCCATTCATTAATAGAATTGAATAATTAAACATTTCGCTACATTTTGAGTAAAATTTAGCACAGCACCAAAACAAACTAGTTCGTAACTGGTTATTACACTACCAAAATTACCACAAAATATTTATGTGAAGCAAATACCATGGTGTGTTATTGCAGACCATTGCAGCCGCATTTAACCGCCCAAACTTATTCTCTTTTTGAAATTTTGCGTTTGAATTTCAATAATGAAAATCCACACTTGACAGTAAAGCTGAAGTGGCAGCACTGTTTTGGTTGCAAGTCGCATTGTTAGCGTTTGTTGTATTCTGTTTGCACAATTCAGTGCTGCGGGACAATCGCTGAGGCGCGAGAGATTTAACGGAAAATACTTGATGTTAGCATAACTGTTTGTTATGTTTCGAAAATTAGTAGTTCTGTTAAAATAGTGGCATCATAAATAAACATTAGTTGATGTGAAAAATTAATAAAAAGTAATACAAATATTTTTTAAAATTTTTAGTTTTTTCTTTTTGTTCTTAACTAATTCCAGCTCGTTGACTTTTAATAAATTAACAGTATTTTTTTTATACAAATGAAATGGTATCTAAAAGAAATTCTTTGCGCGAGGTATCACCATATGCGGGTTATTTTTCAAAAGTCGCTTACTTTATATTTATGTTTTTTTTTATTTTATTTGGTCGACTCCATAAAAAGACCAGAATGTATGCAGTCACATATTGGGGGTGTACTGAGTAGTCTAGATACAGAAAAGTAAGTTTTCGCATTGACAGAACCCTTGGTATTTCTAATTGTCATTATTTTTCTCATAGTTGACATAAAGCTTCCAATATTTTTAGTGAAAATCGTTAATAAGTTAACACTTATATATCGAGAGAGTTAAAAAATTATAGCAAATTTTCCGCCAGTCAGCATAACATCAGAAACATCTACAATCCACGTATTGTTTTCAAATTCTTCCATTAAACTGCTAAACATTCAAAAAATAAAAAAATAAAAAAATAACGGTACTTACATTACATGCTAAGGTGGTTGATGCCCACTTTACATGCTTAACACACCAGCTGCTTGTGACGTTGGTGCACCTCATTTCACAGACACTACTCTTTCATGATTCTTGTAAATCAGCACTTTAAAACAATAATTAAAATGCAAATTAAGTTATGAGGGCAACAATAAAATGACAAATGTCAGAAAACTATACTGTTCGGACTAGTGTCGCGTGGCAAGCACGTGCCGCTTGTGGGTGTGATCGGC